CCATTGGGCAGTGTACCGCGACCAAACAATGCGGCGGTTCACATGGCAGGGAGATGCAAGCCCGGGGGAGATGCAGAAGGAGTACAAGCTGGAACAAACGCCGGAAGGAAATTTGTGGAGAATCCTGTGTAAAGGTGGTGACGCTCCGGGAGAAGAAGTACGTCCGGATGGATATCGGCAAGTGGGTTTGGTGGTCGTCTATGTGGACGATCTTATGGTTCTTGCGGAACCTCACGCCAAACACAGCTTCTTGAAGAGGCTGAAGGAAGAATGGACTTGCTCCACTCCTGAAGAAGTTGATCACAAAGGCTGGGTTCGATTTTGTGGGTTCGAGCTCCAATGGAGCGGTCAAGGGGATCATAAGAAGTTGAAAGTGGGACAGCAGTCCTACACTCGGGATATGTTGAATCGACATCAAGTAGAACACCCAAGACCGGTTCCGATGACGAAAGCGGATGCCGAACTTCCGGAAGAAGAACAACCAGCACTTGAAAACATCCGACAAGCTCAAACGGTGGTGGGCGAGTTGTTGTGGTTGTCCATAAGGACAAGGCCGGATATCAGTTTCGCCGTCAGCCAATTGGGAAGGCAGGTGAACAAACGGCCCAAATGGGTGGTGAAAACCGCACAGCAGGTGTTTGGTTACCTGAAGGGAACCGAAACTCAACATCTCAGCTATGGGGTTTGCACAAGTGATGATCGTGGTCCCGAAGATGATCTGCCATTTCACCGGGAGATGCAGCAAGTCGAAATGTTCTCGGACATTTCATTTGCCCCTGCGGGCGAAAGATCACTGCAGGGTATCCTAGGTTTTTATGGTGGAGGGTTGGTTCAATGGGAAGCCAGCCGTCAAGCTTTTGTGGTGTTGAGCACCGCCGAAGGGGAACTGATGTCCTACTTGGAATCCATGGTCATGGGAGACTCTCTGGCGTCTCTCATAGAGGTCGTGGAAGGACGGAAAATCGGGCAGAAGATCATCTACGGAGACAACACGGCTGCAATAGCCATCTTGGAAAATCCTGACGGTCCGTGGAGGACTCGGCACTTGCGGTTGCGAGCAACAGCCCTAAGGGAAAGGTTAAAGGATGGTAGTTGGATCATCCGTCACCTTCCAGGGGTAAAACTTGTGGCCGATTTCCTGACGAAGATCATCGCTGTGAAGCCCAGTTGGGAAAGGTTCTGGAGGTTCGTCAATCACCAAGGTTCCGGGGTTCCAAATGAGGAAACATCAATGGGGTCCAACCATCGTGAAGAACAACCTCTGGGAGAAGAACAACGTCCAGAAGAACCAGACCAGGAGACTTCCTCCTGGGACAACTACCGAGATATCGCTGGTCGGTGCGTATCAGTGGTGAAAAAGGTGGTTGGTCTGGCCGAGGAATATCCAGAACTAGCCGATTTCCGGCATGAAGCCCTGAGCACTGCCATTGGAAGGCTGGTGCGAGTACTGGCTGATGCGTATCGCGTCACTGAATCCGTGGTCAAGGATCGGTTCCAGTTGGAGTCGGTCTTACCGTTTTTGGAGAAGAAGAACATTCCTGGACAAGTTGAACACCCTGTAGAAGAAGAACCTAGGGGTATTCTAAAACGGGGTACTAGGTCCAAAAGGGGTAACCCAAAACCTAAACGGGTTTATTTTTGGGATGAAAATCCACCAGTTTTGAAAGTTTTGCGGGTACAAGATCACCACGGTCATGTTGCCCAATTGCACAGTTATGAAAAAGAAGAACCCATCCCTAAGACCATCCTGGGTGATGGACAAGAGAAACCTTGGGACTTGGATTGTGCCAGGTCCGATCGAGAAGAACATCGAGCTGCTGAAGTTGTACCAAGGTCGGGTTCCACAGAACCGTGGGATCTGGTTGCAACTTGGGGAATTGGGTTTTTGGGGAATTCTAATGTGGTTGGTAAGGGGAAAAACCATCCTGAAACCTCAAAGGGGATAGCTCCGCAACCAACGGGATTTAAGTGTTTTTCCGTTAGGGAATTGGGGTTGTCCGCAGCAATTTATTTTTCCAAAAGTTTTGGGCTCAAAAGCGTCCTCGTCTGCCTTGCTGCACCAGTGACAGCTATGGACGGTGAAGATGTTTCGCAAGGCGTCTTTGGTCAGTTTTTTGGCATACTTTATGCCATGATGGTCATCCTGGTGTGGGAAGTTTTCCGATGGCTTATGAGCCATTTGACACTCCTGGTGGTTCCTCAGTTCAATCGACAAATGGTGGAACAAGCTGAACTGATGGTGAAGTTGGCCCTGAAAGATCGAGAAAAAGATGTACGTGGGGGAGAAGGTCATTCCACGGCGGCGCCAACTGTAGAAAAAGATGAACATCAGGAAGAAGAACCACGTCCGGGAGAAGATCATCGAAAGGAAAAAAGAAGAAAAACCGAAGAGAGGGATGCTGATCGCGCCCATGACAAAAGGGAAAGAGGAAGAGACCGTCGGAGACGGGGTGAAACAGGGCGATCTAGGTCGCCACACAGGGAAAAGGAATCGACAACAAGGCGATCGGAGAGTGAAAAAAGCCCTGGCCCTTCTACAGCCGAATCGCGAGGTTCGGAAAGGGTCCCAAAGGGACCGATAGCTCCGCTGCCAGAGGGTATGAAAGCCCCTGGGAGACCGCCACCGAAAAAACCGTCGATGCCAACTCCCAAGGAAGAGGAAAAAGTACCCACCGATGATGAAGAGTGGGGAAAATGGAAGGAACAGAGAGAAGGAGAAAAAATGGCTGATTACCTTGCAAGGATGAGATCAGTCTATGGAAAGGCAATACCTGCAGAGCCAAAGGAAAAACCTGCAGAAACGACCCGAGCCTCCTCCTCTAAAACAGCTCCTAAGGCAGCGGCTTACTATGAAGTGGATGGAGGAGAATGGTATTGGTGGGATGGTGCATGGGGGGACAAATGGGAACCGAAAAAGAAAAAGAAGAAGAAGAACAAATACACCGAGGCTGAATGGGAACAGTGGTACAAGGAGCATCCGGAGGAGGACACTGAGTCTTCCCAGACACCAAGAAGGCCAGCAGAACCGGAGACTCCGCCACCGGCCCAAAGACCAAGGATTCGTCCGGGACAAGATTTAATTCGACGTCCTGAAGACCCAGCCAGCTGGACAGTTTACATGCCTGAGGTGGTCATGCGTGAGGTGGAATATATCATCTCTGGAGAGAGCACAGCATGGATGACAAAGCCGCCGGCCGTAACAGGCTTTGAAGAACAGGGTCAGGCCATTGACATGTGGCATGTTCCAGCCCCTGGGGACTATGGACGAATCATCACAAGAATCCATTACAAATGGAGACAGAATTCATTTCATCCAGATCACCCCACTTTACCGAAAAAGGTCGACCAGTTGGATCCTTACCGGGTCACATTTTTGTGGAATACCCTGGACAGCAACGAGCGAAAAATAATCTTGGATTTTGACTGGGAGACCAAGTGGGTCGAAGACAAGTGGGTGGGATACACCGTTTTCCTTGTCAAACAAGACCCAAGAGATGTGGCGAAAAGCTCACCCAAAAGGAAATAGGTCACACGGAAAAGTACATCGGTGGCTGGAGAAAAAGATCAACAAGACCCAAGGAAAAGATCATTAGCTGCCGGTGGAAAAGACCAATACAGGGAAAAGCTCATCAGCTGCTGGACCCAAAGAACACCGTTGGGCGCTCTTCGAGGACAGCGCTGGTGAGAGAGGGAATTCAAAACCTACGAAGTTAGGGCTGTAGTTTTTCAATTTTTGGAGTCAACCCGAAGTGGAACTCCACGCGACCCTTGGATGAAGGGGGAACCAACACCAGCCTGGGACTATGGCACACGAGGGTCTTCGCCCTTCTGGCTGGGGGAAGGGCGAGTTCCCAGAGGAAACGTGGCCACCCCTGAAGCTTTTGTTTTTGGTGTTGGGGAACCTGGATTCCTGCAAGCAGGAAGGGGGAGTGCGGTTTGGGAAACATGCACAGAGTACCACTGCACCCCCACTAAGGTCTTTTTAAAGTTTTCACAGTCGTTGAGACGTCCTCCGACTGTTGCAACTTTGGCTCAAGGGCCAATCAACTGACTGGCTCAATTTACCGAGCCCAACTTGGAGTGAAAAGGTGCACTTGCATCTGCCTCTTGGTGGGGACCTCCGGGAAGGGTCTCGGTCATAGTCTGAAACCCGTGAAAACAAAAACACACAGCATGTTTAATCTCTTTCCACATATTTCCAAGTATTTTTCAACCAGACCAGGTGATCGTTTTCCTGTGGACTGTGTGTCTGTGTCCAAAGGGCGTATCCTCTTAGCTCAGAGGCCTAGATGTTGCTGGGTTGACTGATTTCCCCAATGTCATTTTCCGTTAACCCGTCCCATCCCAAATGCCAAAGTTCCTGCTTGCAAACTGCAACCGCAGGTTTTTGGTTGTACTTCTTTTCTTTACTTTTCGTGGCTATAGAGCCATTTTCCTAGTGGTACAGTCAGTTTATACGGTTGTTACCTTTAACCCCTCCCATCCCCTGAAGATTCTAAGATGGTGTTCAACACATGCTTTAACAACCAATAAAGAATACTTAAACTTTCTGAATTCCCCCAATCTTTTCCTGGGAAAACCCTTGGATAATGTTCACATCATTGCTAATTAAATCTGGCTTTAGTCGGTTAGAATTCTATTTCAGGTTTGCTTTTCCCCCACGATTTGAAGTGGCCAAATTTCCTAATGGCAGGCGGTTTAATCCCCATGTACTGTATAGCTATGGTTCTAAGGCTAAATTTTAAGCCTAGTCATAATCCTCAATTTGTGGTCAGTGTTCTCAACTGTTTAACTCCTAATTTTCACTTCATTTGCTGGTTGAACTACAATTTTTGCTGATTAGATCAATTGGATCCCAAGTTTTGTTGCTTACACACATAATTTTGCTGATGAAATTACACTTTTTCATGAACACATCACCACTTTTATCTTGGTGGTACGCCCCCAACTCAGCCCCAACTCCCCAACCTACCCCCTCAGAGTGGTAACGCCCGAGCCACGCAACGCCGCCAGCGCCTCAGTCACCTCCGACGTGGGCGGGCCGCCGCTGGGCGGTGTGCGCAGGAAGCTGGGTGATGCATGCGGCGTGGTCGACCTGGACGAGGTTGGACGGGTTGTTTCATTTTGTTTACTGAAAGTATACTGTGGGAATCTTGTGTTTGTAAATATACTGCGGAGACAGATAGATACAAGTAGGATAGGATAAGATAGGCTAAGACAGGATAGGATAAGATAACATAGGATAAGAAAAGATAGGAAAAGATAAGAAAGGATAGAAGAATATAGGATAAGATAGGATAGGATAAGGTAAGATAAGATAGGATAAGGTAAGATAGGATAAGATACGAGATATAACATAAAATAGGATAAGACAAGATAAGATTTCATGAAATAAGTTGAGACAAAGTAACTCTGAAACTTCCACTGAATAAAGGGAGCACCTATGGGCATTTGATTAGTAAATACAACCTCTTCCAACACGATCCAACATGATCGGCCTCAGTATCAGTACATACTGATTGATCGAGTCACCCATCCCACACACATATTCATGAGTGAATTTGGATCATTATTCCCCTTCACTTTGGATGGGCATTGAAACCAACCAGGGTTTGCCCAACGGCACCTCTCTGGTGCTTCCACCGCGAGTGAAGGCAAGTCAGCCATGGCGCGGGCCGCAACGGCCGTTGGGCCGTCTATAGTTTGGGTGATGGTCAGGTATTATTGGGGGATGGGGTCAGAATAAAATAGATGTTTGCAAAGTAAGTTGGATGATAGATCGGCTTAAGATCCCATTTGTGACACTCTGACATCAACATGTATTCTTAGATTATTCTTAGCATCCTTTTGTTGGATCCAAAGTTTCAGGGTGTTGACAGTGTTGACCCTTGGTTTTTAACAATTGAAACGGACACTGTTGCAGTCGCTTCACCGTTTCCACTTGGTGGGTTGTTACCCACACAATGCACTCATCATGGATCCCAACTTGTCCTGTTGAGAAGTCATTGGGGGCTGAGACCATTGAACGATGCCATCCGTGGACTCTCTGCAGCGGCGACCCATGGTCGAGGGCGAACTTACAGTGGATTCTTTCCATAGCATTAAACACCGGCTAAATGATCACAGATATGTGTAAATCCACTGCTAAACTATGCCTGGTGGATGTTTAATCGTAGGGGGGACGGGATTATTATGCGTATATGTCTAGTTTGATAAGTATATATTACAAGTCTACACACGTCAACGTCAAACCACAATTTCAAGAGCAAACATATACACACATACAGGAGTGAATGATCTGTATGCTATATTGTCCTCCAAATATCAAACCATCTATATCGATGCTTTCACCACTTGAACAATCTCAAATTGAACTATATTGAACTTATATCCAATCAAATACCCTCATTGCAGTTGCCAGTCGTCTGAGGCCATCCTAATTTAAACTCTTGATCACAAGAAGATACCAACCAGGTTGGACAATTGGTGGTGCCCTGGAAGTGCTCATCCGAGTTGGTGTGTCAACATCATTAGGGCTGGAAACACCACTGCAGTAAAAATGGTACCTGTTGCTGTTGGTGGCACCCCTGTTCTGCCCGATATGGAGCAGCTTCTATTCTATCCAAATGCTAAGATTGAAACAACCGGACGGAGAGTAGCAAACTTGTTTTATGTACCGTATCCAACTCGAACCAGGTTGGCACAAGTATGTTGTTGCAGTGGACTATAAGACCCTTTGGCGATATACGGATGACGATTGTGAAACTGTGAGTTTTGTAATGATTTTGGGTCTTATCCCAACTAGGAGTATGAAGCGGCAGGTCAAATACAATTTTCTTCGTGCACAACCCCATTTGTTTTGCTTCAATCCCAATTTTTCCACGTAGATGATCATGTTTCTTACTCAAATAAACTCATCTGACCTTTTTCTCACTTATTAAACATCTAATGAAAGAATAACGATTTTATTGATCAATCACCATCTTTCTGTCTTTTCCATATTTTTCCATGCTTAAAACCTTGGTTTCGTTGCTGTTTCGTTGGTGTATCCCCAGCCGTACACCTGCAGTGCCGCGAGGTAGGCAGCGCTCAGGTCAGGCCCGGAGGCACCTGGCGGTTGCGGTTGAAGTTTCGCCAATGGTGATTTCGTACATGGGATAGCCATGGGGATGGATATATGATGATATATGTATTGGGGATATATAGATGGAATATGTTTATGATATTCTATGATGATATGAGATATGTGAAAAAATGGCCATGATATGTATTGATATATAAAGATACATTGGGGACAGTTAAAGGGAACAAAAGCAACAAATGAAAGGATATCACGGGAAACCTTTTGGACATCCATGGGCATTCAGAATGTCTGGGTTTTTACATCATGGAGTTTCGGACTCTTTTAACTTTCCCTGCATTCTTGGGAATCCTCAGATGCCCTGCTAGCTTTTAACAGGTATGATTCTGTCATCTATGGCTAAAATCTCATCCGCTGACCTGCTAGTATCCATTCACCAAGGTTTGTGTACTGTAGATGATTGGTCGGTCAAACGATCATACTTACTGAATTCTTCCGATGTTGGTATATATTCGAATCTAGCTAGCTAATGCTAGCTACAACAGGTAGCTTGTGGTAGGCTACAGTCCCCTCACCCTTCAAATTGCTACCCGTACATACCCTGCAACAAGTTATAGAATTCCCTCTCGCTGACCTGCCCTTCATTGCCCTTCACCCAAGGTTGATGCAAATCGTTGGAGAATCGCTTATGCCCCCATTGATCCCCAATGATTGGTTGAACATCCAAGCATGTTGGATTGGCGCTGTCCATAGGGGCACCTGCCAAACGAGCCCTCAACAGAGGTGCCGCCACCAAATCGCCCGTCCAGCTCAGGGCGAACTCACCTGGCAGCGTGTGATCTGGGGATCATCCACGTTGCTTGGTCCCCCGTGAAATTGGCAATCTTTATTTACTTTAGTAATCCGATTTTTTTGGGTTCATCATTCTAAGCCATACGAGTAGCAACTTTAGGATCTGATATCATTCAGTTTTCCAATTTGTTTGGGGTCACAATTCCGACGTTGAGATTTTTGGTTCCAAGGAAAAACAAGATAATCATGGAGAGATTGCTCAAAAATGTTTAGAGATTGTTTACAGTAGATATGTTTAGATGAAAACAATGACTTAAATTGATAAATCAAACAATCATCATTTGGCTCGAACGTGGGGCAGCAATGGACTCACAACTGCCGGGTGATCCTTAGGACAGCCCATTAAATCCAGGTACAGGGTCTTATGGTTTGATGTTCGCGTTTCAAGGAGGTCGATGGATCGTTAAAGTACTCAAAACTTTGTTCCCCAATGTGTCAACAGTAAGTTGCCCCCCAAAATTAATGGTGCGGCGCAAAGAGAATGACCAGTCTATACTTTGAATGTGGGGTTGGAAACTTTGACACATCCATTGGTACCATGACTGGTAGCAAATATCAACCAACATGGCCGTTGTATATCTGTTTGTTGGCAAACCATCGTTGCTGACTACCTCCGATCAATGCACTACGATTGTATGATATTGGTATATTTGTTGTTTTTGAAAAACCAGCACAAGTAATCAAATCTGAGTTTGGATTGCCTATGTATACCAGTTTTGTCTCAACAATAGTTGATCAACATCAACATACATCGAATACAATGGACAAATCATGCTCTATCCCTAAGTCCCTAAGTTTCGTCAGTGAAATCTCCCATTTTTGGTGAAATCCTCCTATTTGACACGGCCTTCCATGGGAGTCACTTGTGCCCCATTCTCCGCCAGGCGGAAAGCCAAATCGATGCCGCTGACCTGGTGTCGATTGCGGATGATTCCCCTGCAGGTTGTCGAAAATTGTCGAAAAAGTTCAGCTTGGTTCAGCTTAGTTCACCCTAGTAGTTCACCCTAGTAGTTCACCTTAGTTCACCTTAGTTCACCCTAGTAGTTCACCTTAGTTCACCCTAGTTCACCCTAGTAGTTCACCCTAGTAGTTCACCTTAGTTCACCTTAGTTCACCCTAGTAGTTCACCCTAGTAGTTCACCCTAGTAGTTCACCCTAGTAGTTCACCCTAGTAGTTCGCCTTAGTTCACCTTAGTAGTTCACCTTAGTAGTTCACCTTAGTTCACCTTAGTTCACCCTAGTAGTTCACCTTAGTTCACCTTAGTAGTTCACCTTAGTTCACCTTAGTTCACCCTAGTAGTTCACCCTAGTAGTTCACCTTAGTTCACCCTAGTAGTTCACCCTAGTAGTTCACCTTAGTTCACCCTAGTAGTTCACCTTAGTTCACCTTAGTTCACCCTAGTTCTCCCTGGTAGTTCACCTTAGTTCACCTTAGTTCACCTTAGTAGTTCACCTTAGTTCACCTTAGTTCACCCTAATAGTTCACCCTAGTAGTTCACCTTAGTTCACCCTAGTAGTTCACCCTAGTAGTTCACCCTAGTAGTTCACCTTAGTTCACCCTGGTAGTTCACCTTAGTTCACCTTAGTTCACCTTAGTTCACCTTAGTTCACCTTAGTTCACCCTAATAGTTCACCCTAGTAGTTCACCTTAGTTCACCCTAGTAGTTCACCCTAGTAGTTCACCTTAGTTCACCCTAGTAGTTCACCCTAGTAGTTCACCTTAGTTCACCCTAGTAGTTCACCCTAGTAGTTCACCCTAGTAGTTCACCTTAGTTCACCCTAGTAGTTCACCCTAGTAGTTCACCTTAGTTCACCTTAGTTCACCCTAGTAGTTCACCTTAGTTCACCCTAGTTCACCCTAGTAGTTCACCCTAGTAGTTCACCTTAGTTCACCTTAGTTCACCTTAGTTCTCCTTAGTTCACCTTAGTAGTCCACCTTAGTCCACCTTAGTTCACCTTAGTTCACCTTAGTTCACCTTAGTTCACCTTAGTAGTTCACCTTAGTTCACCCTAGTAGTTCACCTTAGTTCACCTTAGTTCACCCTAGTTCACCCTGGTAGTTCACCTTAGTAGTTCACCTTAGTTCACCTTAGTTCACCCTAGTAGTTCACCTTAGTTCACCCTAGTAGTTCACCTTAGTAGTTCCCCCTAGTAGTTCACCTTAGTTCACCTTAGTTCACCTTAGTTCACCCTAGTTCACCCTAGTAGTTCACCTTAGTTCACCTTTGTTCACCTTAGTTCACCTTAGTAGTTCACCTTAGTTCACCTTAGTTCACCTTAGTTCACCTTAGTTCACCTTAGGTCACCTTAGTTCACCCCAGTAGTTCACCCTAATAGTTCACCCTAGTTCACCTTAGTTCACCCTAGTTCACCCTAGTTCACCTTAGTTCACCTTAGTTGACCTTAGCCTTAGTTCAACTTCCAACGTTTCTGCAATTTATATCAATTTCATCTTCCCACCGCCCATGATACGTTTCTGAGACCTTCCAAAATGCCATGACAGCTCGAGGCGATTGAACCCATGTTTTTCAACTTTTTGTTGAGCTCAGAGATGGTGTGCAAAAAGTTGGATGGCAACCTACCCCCTCTGGTAGTCAACCTGGCAATGGGCAATCCCCATTTTTAGATGACTTTCCCATCAAGACCTCTATTTAGTTCGGGGGTTTTCCAGCTAGCCATGTTTGATTACCGAATGGTAGTTGGATGGCCGTACCATGCTTGACCCAACACCTAATGGACAAAGACTTAGTCGCCCACAGGATAGCGCT